CCCTAAACCCTCGACCCTAAAACCCAAAAGGATCAGGACTCTGCCTTGAAAGGATGATCAGGGCCCTTAAAAGACTGCACGTTGGACTGCCGTGGAGTCACGCGACAAATGACAGCATAAAGTTTTCAGAGTTGTGGGGTAACTGGTGGGTAGTGCCCCTACTCAAAAAAAAAGTTAGAGAATAGCTAATCATTGGAATTATTAGGGAATAGCACTTGCATCTAATCCCCTGCCCTAACAATACGACTTCCCAACATATTCTAATATACCATGCAAGGAATGCTTATTCCTAGGGGGTGGGGTTATCGTTAATTTGGGTAGTGGACTAGCAGCGTTGCCAATGTTGAGTGCCGAGCCCGAGCACGGACTCAAAGTGGGACATGAACACAGAATACTCGATCTCCCCCTTGTTCTCCTGCGGCTTTTGGTATATGCCAAAGTATTGGCCATTTTGCCTAATATTGGTCCTGTGGTCACTGTGCCACATACCATGTTCAGCAGCACCGTATACCAGGACAATCTCAGGTCATGGAAGCTAGGAAATATTGCTATAAGCATCTATCTTCTTTTTCTTGGCTGCTTCAGAACCTATATGCTTTGAGTCTACCGTTCCTGTGGCCTGATACTGCAACCAAAACGGATAAAATTGAGTTTATGGAGCAAACACCAGAGGAGGTCACTCAAGGAGCTCCTCAAAAGAGGCCCCCGATTTTGGAAATTCCGATATGGGGTTCCGTGCTAGTTCGCAAAGGGTCGAATGGCCTTGGCAAAAGGAGCCGCTCGGCCCTTCCAAATCAACCCCCTCCTATCGGAACCTGCTGTTCCAACATGGAATAAAACCTTCCCTGCCCACGAGATATTCATGAACAGGGAACTTGAGGTGAACGGAAAGCCTAGCGTGTCCAGCATTTGAAGGTCTCCGCCTGAAGGGTGTGGCTATAGTGCAGCAGACCAAATGTATACTCTCCCCTACTAACCTGCAAGCTAACAGGTTGGTAGACTTCTTGTCCGTTAAAAATTGCAATCTTATATGCACGCGCCAAGCCCTACTACAAAACAAACGTTGCACGGGGGTCCATGCCTGCCTTGGGAAGATGACATCAAGGCTGGAGGCGTAGAATCTCCCTCTTAAGCCTCGGACCTCCATATTCCCAACCCAACTTAGTCCTCATGACGCCCTAGATAATCCGAACAACAAAAACAGCTGCTTTTGAACCTGTGACTTCCTTTATATGCCTTGTACGCTTGCTAAACTTCATCCTACAATCAAAGACGCAGAGAATGACACCAGAAATGCTGCGAATCTAAATTGGAGCCTTTCCTGCCAGGAAATACAAGCAAAGGTTGTAACTGGGAAATAAGTTGGGTAAACTCTTGACCCTTTAACCCAATCTCTCTATGGCGCTACACATCCCCCACAACTAATGCTCAAATGAACTCATAGTCACCCCTCTTTCCCAAAGGATCTTTGCGCATCCCTATACACACAAAACTGGAATCCCGAACCCGAAACCTTAAAGTCTATAATCCCCCTTGAATAGCTAGAATACGGGTATATGGGGATCTTAATATGACGTACCCAAAGCCATATTCTATCTACTTATGGGGGACTATAGACCCATATCACTTATAATCCTTGCACGTCCGCTCTGCCTAGCTTCGAGCAAAGGTCCTGGTCGAGGAGGTCGAAGATGCGATTAGCCACCTCCTCCACTACAAGCAGGTCTTCCGGTTGTTTTAAGGCATGTATACAGGGGAGATGCGGGGAATGGAAAAAGAAATGGAAACTACTAACCCAGACCCCTGATTAATAAATCCCCTCCCCGTAATAGGGATTATACTAGGGACGTTAATATTTAGGCCCTTAACAGGAGGGGGTTTATTAATCGTGGGTCTACATTATACGGGGTTTAGGGATCAGGGTTTGTTGTCTTGGTGATTCTAGGGGCGTTTGAAGGATATTGAGGCTCGTAACAGGAAGCTTGCTTGGTTGGTACGGCTTTTAAGCCGTCAGCCTATAAAGCACTAGCATGGACAGTGGCGAAGCCAAATCTGCAGGGCCCTAAATCCCCAAACCCCAGCCCTCAATCCCCAAACCGCCTCTGGGTGGCCGAAGCCTCTGAAGAAGTTTACCATCTCCTCCCGCGTGATCTTGCCCAGCCTTCCAGCAATGAGGGGGGTTTGGTAACCCCCACCCTCAAGTTTATGGTTTAGGGTTTAGGGTGTATTAGGGTCCAAGAAATTTGGACCCTACTACAGTCATACGATACTTATAACGTCCTAATTTGGGGGGTTAGGTTCCCAAATTCCACTCACGATCCAGACCATCTGGACTGCTGTCACGGAACGTAGGGCTTGAGTTGGCATTGCAAAACAAAGGGAAAAGAAAGTACAAAATTAGACTGCGGCTGGGATTATATAGAGGTCTAAAGAACTGAAAGCTCACTCACCATGACGGTGACACCATGTCTTTAAATACATAGCCATGTTAAGGTCACTCGACGTAACTTCCTTGACAGCAACCCAGCCATCGGTGCAATCTCTAAATGTGCTTCTTTCTTCCTTGGGGTGAGATTCCCAACCCCAACCCCGCGAATCAATCACAGCATGGGGGCCATTTTTACCGGTTGCATAAATGCCTTTAAAGTGAGTTTTCAAAATCAGCCATACCACGAAAGGCTGTGTAATCTTCTACCCCGAACAATCAACCCCCACTCCCTTATCATATAACAACTATTTCCCGCAAGAAAACTAGTTGGGGGTTTTGATTATCAAGGGGTGGGAGCCTCATAGTTAGGGCAGGGCACTAGGGTTTTGATTGAAGCTGGCGAGAAACTGTGCAATGCTCTTGGTGCCAGGTTTACTCGGGCAACTTAGAATAATTTTAATCCCCAATTTACTAAGTCAATTTTAGTACTATTCCCTATGCAAACCACCACTTAGGGTGAGGTCGGCTGAGATCGCTTGAAATTGCTCAGGTTTGCGCCTGCCTCTGCAAGTTCAAGGGCCGGAAGGCGTCACGAACGTGCTTGAACTTGAGGATCAGTTTGTCGCCGACATCCTGCACTCTGGCTCGCGGTTTAGGGCTTAGGGTTGAAGGATTAGGGTTTAGGTATTAAGGTTCAGGGTTTAGTGTTTAGGGTGCGGACGCGACATGTACGTCAACCTGCCCTAGCCACTGTGGGACAGGTCCTGATACTTCCTAGTTTCCACGCATGTGTCACTCTGTTTCTTTTGAAAGGCTGTTATCATTGGTACTATGACTAGTAGTACTTATGAGCACCAGTACTATTTTTACTATTAGAATTATTAAGACAATTGTCAATACTATTATTATTCTTACGCTTATTGATTATTGTTACTATTCTTATTGTTGTCCTGCATCAGCTTTCTGAGCTCCATCCTCAGCTCGAAGTCCACGTGCTTGTTCCACTCCTTGCTCACCGCCTCAGACTCAAACTCAACGCTGCGGGTTCCCTCAAACTCTACTTTCGCCCCTCGTCCGTAGAAGCACTTTCTAATCTCTGAAGTCTGAGGCCGAGGATCTCCGACTCTCGGAATCAGGTGTCAATTCTGGGCAGTCTGCGCGCGTATACTTCTCAAACACCAGAGTTGTAGCAAAGCCCAAGAAGATAGAATTGGTACACACCATACATGGCCGCTACACTAAACCCTAAACCCTAGTCTTCTAGCTACTCAACACAGGATTCTGGACATGCAAAGGCCGGGGCTCGTCGGCTCATGGAGTCATAGTCGGGCTGCCTGCCAAGGAGTAACAACAGCGGATAGACTAAGTTGGTCGATAAAGCTGTATTGAAATCTTGGCATGCGTTCTGAGCCCATTACCATACATCACAGCCCTTTTCTAATCTGGACCTGATCAACCCTAAACCCTAAACCCCAAGCCCAAGACCCTAAACCCCAAAACCCATGCCCCCAAACCCCAAGCCCCCAAACCCCAAGCCCCTAAACCCTAAACCCTAAGCCCAGTCCTAAGCCTATTACAACACATCACGATGCGTGCAAACTGGCTCCAGAGCGAAGGGCAGGGTCCCATGATTAGGAGTTAGTTATGTACCCCACCCGAATGTCCCCCCCAAATTTAGAACCCTATTAGGCTTTATTAAGCTCCATATAGTCCTTATTAGCTCCTTAAACCCTGGGGGGGGTACATTTGGGGGGAGTTGCATTGTAACTCCTAAATTAATGATCCCACACATCCCTTGATATGGTCCCTACATTCAAAGCATACCTCGCCAAGCGATCACCCCCCTCATTTTTTTTGCTGGGAAGCCCGTACTGAAAATCAGGACAGCCGCTTCATGTGAGCCATAGTCTGAACTCCTAGTATCCCTCTTAATAACCCCTATAGTAGGCCCCTAGATCATCCCCACCCTCTTAAGGAGTTTAGACCCTGAACCCTATATAACTCCTATATAATCGTCGTATATAATCCCCTGTAAGAAGTTGAGACTACAGCTCATGTGGTGGGAAGCTATTCTGCAGATCTGTTGGCTTGCAAAGCTTCATCCTCGATTTATGCATGTGAGCCATAGTCCAATCCCCTATAAATACTACTCCCCTATATAATCCCCTATATCTCCCCCTTCAAGGAGTTCAGCCCCTATAATGCCCCCTTGAATAATCCCCTATATATCCCCCCTTNNGTTTAGACTATAGCTCATGTACGTCGGGTCTAAGTGGCAAGGTTTACCATTACGCCGCCGGCAGCCTCTAGCAACGGATGGTGCACCTCGAAGTCCTGAAGCCCCAAACACAATCCTAAGCCTGTGCCAAAACCTGCAACTAAGGACCCCTGAACCCTAAACCCTACACCCTCAACTCATGGACTCCCCCAAACTAACATGGAACCTCAAGAGAGGTCACTGCATCCTTGAAAGGCTTCACGGCTGATCCCTGTACAATCCCTATGTAAACCCCATGTGACCCTTATGTAACGACATTATATAACCTCAAACCCTAAACCCTAAACCCTAAACTCTCAATCCTTGTGACACCAGACTCTAGGCGTCCCCAAAGGCCCTGGTACATTCCTGAGGCGGCTGACTCAGGGGTGTCAGGCTTCATGAGATAGTCCTTGAAATAGGTTGCATCAGTCCCCCTCACAGTAAGTGTACCTAAAGAGGTCTTGTTAACGGGCTACTACAACTCCTACTACCTACTATGGTGAAGGGTCCTGTGGACCGGAATGACTTAAGATACAAGCGTTTTAGGGTTCAGGGCGCTTCTCAAAAAAGGGCTCTTTGGGATCCCGGAGAGATAAAGGTGTTATGAAGGGAAAAAATGTATAGGCATCCGCATTGGGAACCTGTTTTCTTTAAGAAACGTCCACATGAGCCATTGTCTAAACTCCTAGTATACCCCTTAATGACCCCTATAAGAGTCCCACCTATACAACCCCCCATTAAGGAGTTTAGACTATGGCTCATATTGGTATTCGCAGCAGGGGGGCTTAGTGTCAAAAATCAAGATTACAGCCCTAAATGGGTGTTTCCTAAAATTAGGGGTACCATTTTGGGGGGCCGTATAATAAGGTCTCTAATATTTTGGGGTCCCCCTATTTTGGGAAATTTCCAAATGCCGTGCTGAACTTTGCTGGGTAGTGACGAAAAGAGCCACGTTTCAAGAGCCATGGCAAAGACATCAAAATTTCTGAGGATGAGACTGTGTAGAACATACGACGAAAGGATTGTAAACCTCATTCTGAAGGCAAATGACAAAAACCAGAATGTTGGGTTACGAAGAACGTATCAGTGGAAATTGTGCTGAGGCAGTGAGTTGATCCTCCCACAGCCAATCGCACATTCCAAAGCAAATCGTCACGCTCTAAATGTTTGGCCTTGAAGGTGACATAGACACGAGGATCGTAAGAAGGAGGCAGTAAGGATCGCCCCCATAGCCTTAGCGGCCTTAGCGTAAGATCCTCATGTGCTTGTGCATTTTCGCCTCCCCCCCCCACAATTTTCTTTGCTGAGACAACGGACGATGCCTCGGGTGTGACCCAGAATTCTCAATCCTCGCTGGAGTCACCAGAAGGCGTGCCAAAGTCCGAGATGGTTGAACGTGACTGTTGTGCTGTGTTTTCAGTTTACACCTTCTCCTCATCCGGCACCTTCCCCTTCTGTACGAGCCCGGAGGCAGCAGACAAGACAAAGGAAGCTGAGGACTACACAGGCTTGTGGCGAAACGTCCGCAGCATTCTCTTTTGCTCCACAGGCTCTCAAAGGAGGCTAAACAAGTATCTTCCCAATACGCACGGAAAGCCCAGAAATGTTGCCGAACAATGCTAAGATCCATAGCCTAGCCTTCAGCTCATTGGTTTTGTGGAACCATTGCCTCCCTATGGCTTGAGAACCAGCAGCTTATGAATTCATGCTGTGGACCTGCGCCCGGACCAGCAAATTTATAGATTCAGCTTACGTAACGTATTCTCATCAGCATGGCTACCAGTAACTCTGATACTATTGAGCTGACAGACAATGGTCGGCATCATGTCCTGCAGCACTCAGCCTGCCCTTCCCTCCGCTATCAGGACTGCTTGCCCGCGGCTGGCAGGAGGGTCTTCCTGGGTTGCATCCGGCACGCATCCCACGCATTGGGTCCCAGAGCACTGTATACAAAACCCCTCGAAGGAGGAAAAAAATGTCCATCGTAGCGAAACTATAGCATAAGAGAAACTAACAAATCTCAACTAATCCAGAAAGCTGGCTTTGCAATGACTATTGTTTGCAGGAACATGCCGAAGACTCAGAGACCACATCCTACAGTATCATGATGCATATCATCCTCAACTTTGGCATGTCGTACAAGCAGCTTTGCCCCGAATGCTGAAAGAAAGAGAGCCCTGGCACGGGGTGCGAATCATCCCCACTGTTCCTATTGGGGCCCGTCTCCTCAGAACTCACACCTGGCTCTGACATAGCCGCTGTCCCTCTCTGTGTGCAAATATGACCGAGCTTCCTCGAGTAGCTATAGCGTAAGTCCAGCTTGGAACCCGGACCTGCGTCCTGAGACGTTCAGATTTCCCTAAGTCAGGAACTATAATGAGGGTTGAGTGATCAGATGGAGGTTAGACAGAAGTTACGTAATGAACATAAGGGGGGTGCCTAAGGATTTCCTTCGTACATTCCATACAAATTTGGTCTGGATATGTGTGATCCTGCGTTCGCTCTGTGTCTTTGCCCTCCTTATAGGAACAGTAAGACAATCTAATACATGCAAACTGTAATGCATCAGTCATGTTGCTGGTCGAAAACTTGGTGGGCCAATCTGTTGCCTTCTCTCACCTAGACCCCACGCACCCTTTGCGGAGTAGAAGTAAGCGCAGCCATAAGAGACCACTTCATTAGGAGAGAATTCCCAGCAACCGTGCAGGAAAGACTTCGAACTTTCTAGCCCCAAAGCCTTGACATCCCACATCTTAAAGCCCGCCTGACTTGCGGGTTCTCCATCCAAGTCATGCTGCCCCATATATACACACACACCTAAATATGTAGAGATATTTCACCCAAAATTCAACCATTTCCCTAAACCCTGAATGGCATAGTTGTTTCCATTCTCCTTTTCACTATGTACTACGTAGCCCTGACACATAAACCCAGATCCTATCTAATATATCTAATATTTCATGCTCTCTTGCAGCTCATTCTCCATGATTCCTGACTAAGATAAGAGGACGTGAATTGGAAACCCAAACAGGGAACCTGAAGAATGTAGTAGCAACATAATTGGAAAGTAAGGACCCTGGTAGGTATATCCGAATATAAGCCCTAAATGTTGACTGCTTTGAACCCCCCTAAACCCTAAACCCTGAATCCCTAAACCCTAAACCCTAAATCCCTGAACCCTAAACCCTAAACCCTAAATCCCTAATCCCTAAACCCCTAAACCCTAAACCCTAAACCCTCAATCCCCGGGGCCTTAGGCACCTTGATGGTTCTCTGGAAGCCATCCGGCACAGTCACCGAAAGGAGCTGGCCTTGCACCCAGGGTTTAGGGTTTAGGGATTAGGGTTTAGGGTTTAGGGTTTAGGGTTAAGGGCCCCTAAAACCCATTGAAAAATATTCGTATATATGGTCCCCTATTAAAGCCATGAGGGAAAATAGTAAATATCCCGGGGGCCTACCCAGTTACCATTACTTAGGGTTTGGGGGGCGGATTTTGGGTTTTGAAATTCTGGAGTTTTGAAATTTTGAGATGAGAAAATTTGGGGACCCTAAGTAATTGTAAGTTTATACGGGCTTGAGGGTTTAGGGTTTGACATCTTATTCAAGTTTCAAGATTTGGGGTTTAAGGTTTCGGTCTTAAGGCCTTAGGACAAAGGGTTCAGGTTTCAAGGTTTAGGGTGCAAAAAACTCTGCCATCCCCTCCTTCGACAAGACGGCAGGGGCCGCTTAGAATTACCAACATCCTCGTGAAGCCGATCAAAGAATGGTGTTAAGGATTATATGTATATAAGAGGATGTTAAAATGGTAGGGAACATGAAAATTGAATGGAAACTAGGTTTATCTAGCGATTCTATCAGGATTATATTGTAGAGTTTGAGGTCTGTTTGGGGGTCCCTATATCCTAGTTATAGGAATCTAGGACCACAAAAGGGGTGATGATTGGGCTCGTAATGACATCCCTTCTCCCCAAGAATCAACAACCCCCCCTGGCCCCCCACTTCCTTCCGATAAGTATTCCCAATGTAATAGATTCCCAACTAGTTGGACGAATATGTTCTATCAGGCGGTTGCGTGTTCTATTGCCAGAAGGGGTGGGCAATTAACTAACACGATGCCAATGACAAAGTCTTGGGTACTGCCTGCACCGGGTAAGAGCCGTAATAAGGTTGATGCCTGCGGGCTTTGTACGTGAACACAAATTATCATCCTCTCACACTATGAATTTTCTCCCCAGTATACACTATTGGGGGGTTCATCATCAAGGGGTGGGGGGGCTTGGTTTTAGTGGAAGAAGATTATTGTAGCCTACTAGTTGGCTTGGCCCAAACCCAGACGCCAAAGCCCAAAAAGTCTAGACTCGGCGTAGCTCTTGAAACCCGATACTGGTTGCTTGGGACGATTTGTCAGGCCCTTCAACTCAAAGCTGGCGCTACTTGTGCTTGACCAATGAATGCACATGTCTCTGCCTGCGACGATGCCGGGAGGGAGGACTACCTCCAACAGCACTTCATCAGCTGGACGCTCCTGCTCGACCATGGGTGGTGCGCTGGTCTCTGTGATGGTCACAAACTTTCGGCCCGACTCCATGAAGCGGCGCAAAGGGGCCAGCCACTCAGCGCTGCTGCGAGGGTGCTCGATGGCACGACGCAGCCACAGCTCGAGGGCCTCGCGCCGCGCCTCAAGTTTGTGGCCCTCACAGCTGAAGCAATGCTTCTTGGGGAAGCGCGCTGCTGGGAACGAGGCACTGACTCGCCCAAGCTGATCCTTGAGCTCAAGGAAGTCGGTGTAGCGGCGCATGACTCGCCAGCAAGCCCCGCTCTCAGCAATCACATCCACCGCAAAGAAGGTCACATCATCCCGCTTTTCCATCCACTGGGGTGGCAGCTGCACGGAAGAAATTGCCAGCATCTCGATGCGACTGGGCACCAAGTTCCTAAGGACATAATCGGGCTGCGTCAGAAATGATTTCTTACACTTTGAAGAATCTACAGTACTTGTATGGCTTCCACACTCAAATCCAAAAAAGCTTCCCAAAGGGACTCCAGGTTCTGGGCTGCAGGCACAGCGGGAGCCACGGTAGCCACGGGCACTGACGGCACGACGCGCCGTACGGGAACTCCAACTACAGGAGCTGCATGCCTTCCTCCTGAGGAGCTCGCCGTACTTTTTTGGGGGACCCTACTCCTACTCAATGCAGCTTAGAAACAGCTCACCCCACATGAGACATGGGGTGCCTTGGGAAGGGACCTAAGTTGTAGAATATGTTCAGTACCCTATTCAATAATCAAGTCGACGAAGAACCCTGGCTGCACCTCGAGGCGCTGGCTGCGCGCCAGGACCATTCAGCAAAACTACCTCACGGGATAATCCCAATATAACCCCTTATACAACCCCTATATAATCCCTATAGAACCCCTTATAAAGGGACAACCCGGGTTGAGGGCTAGGGGGCGCTGAAAGGGAAGCAGTCTCGCCCCCTTCTCGCCCAACGCCCGCCTACCCTACGTGATTAGATTAGATGTCTCCCAGCGCATTGGGGAGGGCTACTAAGCCAGCGTTCAATATTTCGCATTCAACATTTCAGGGCCGCAGTATGTAGTATTTGTGGAGACCTTAGCCTGTAGATGCAACGACTGCGCGCGGGCCTATCCCCTAATTTTTGCGAAAGTGCCCAATCAGTAGTCCATTGATATCAGACCCGGTTTCGGAACAGTGCCAAAGAACCCTGTAGCCCATAATCATACCTGCTCCACCGAGTTGGGGAATAGGAATGCAATACCTGACCTCTCTACTGTCTTCACTTCATGAGCTATAATCTAAACTAATAGTATCCCCCTTACAAAATCGCTTACCGCTCCCCTAGATAATGGTCTGTATAGCCCCCGTTAAAGAGTTTAGACTATAGCTCACATGGTGCCTTTAAAGGATGCTCAGGGATTTGTAGGATTTGATGTAGACCCCTGAT